GGGGGGGGGGGGGGGGGGGGGGCGCCAGGATGAGAGGGAGTGGGGGCGGGGGGGGGCGCCAGGATGAGAGGGAGTGGGGGCGGGGGCGGTGCGCGGGCCGGCGCTGGGCCTGGGAGCCCGGCCCAGCCTGAGGGCACCCTGTCCGCAGACGAGCGTGGCTACTCCAGCTCCCTGCGGGAGGCGCTGGTCCCCCTGGTCGCAGACCACAAGTGCAGCAGCCCCGAGGTGTACGGGGCCGACGTCAGCCCCAACATGCTGTGTGCGGGCTACTTCGACTGCAAGTCCGACGCCTGCCAGGTGAGCCGGGGGCTCAAAACGCCACCCCCCCCAAGAAGCTCAGGGCTGAAAGGGACCTTGACCCGCAGAGCCAGCTGGTGAGCTGGGCAGAGAGTGCCCCTCCCAGTCCGTGGGCCGCGCCCCCAGGACGGGCACCCACGACCTCTGCAGGCTGTCCCTGTCCCAGACCCGGGAGAGGAGCCCCTCTCACGTGATGGGGACACGGAGGCCCAGGGAGGGGCGGGGTCTCAAAGCCGCGGGTGGGGCTCCACGTGACACCACAGGCCAACCCCCGCTTGGGACAGGGGGGCTCAGTCCGTCAGCCAGGCCCCAGAGCTGGCATTTAGCGAGGGCTCCACACGCACCAGCGTCTTTAGGCTACACGTCCACCCTGAGACGGAGGGACCGCTTTCCTTCCCACTTTATACACCGAGAAACTAAGGCTTGGAGAGGTCCCATCACCCTTCCCAGGTCACACAGCTCGGAAGTGGAGAGGGTGGGGGACTTGACACTGGACCACATGATCAGACAAGCACCTTTGGGGGCAGTCAAGGATGGCGTTCTGGAGGAGGGGGCCACGTGCACTTATTTTGAGGACTGAACAGGAGATTGCCAGGCGGCTAGGAGGGCATTTCAAGTGGGGGCGCGCGCCGGACCCAGGACACAGCGGCCACCTGGCCTGGGTAGAGGAGCACATCGCCGGTCGTGGGGCTGAGAGGGGTCCACAGTGCAGCTTTGGGAACGGGGACGGCTGGTCAGATGCTGTCACGGTGGCCCGGGAACGAGGGGACTTCGTGTCTAGGAGGGCGGGGAGGTGAGAGAGCCCCTCCACTCATCCCCGAAGTGGCAGGAGGTCCGAGGGGAGTCCTCACCACAGGCGGCTTCGGGGACCCCCTGGAGACATTCTCGGGGCTGGGGCGCGGGAGGCGGGCGCGGTAGCTCCTCTGCGCTGCCGCGGAGCTGGCCGGCCTGCTCTGCCACAGGGGGACTCGGGCGGGCCCCTGGCCTGTGAGAAGAACGGCCTGGCCTACCTGTACGGCATCGTCAGCTGGGGCGACGGCTGCGGGAAGCTTAACAAACCTGGCGTCTACACCCGTGTGGCCAATTACGTGGACTGGATCAACGACCGGATACGGCCCCCTAAGCGGCCTGCGGATCCCTCCTGACACAGCCCCACCCCTGGCTCCAGCGTCCCGCCTCCCCCCACACCCCATTCCCAGACTCAGGCAATAAAGATGTCTCCACGAGCCCGTCCACACTGCCCGTGCCTCTGCCCCGGCTCCGCCCTCCGTCCGGGGCCTTGACCCCAGGCCCACATAGATGGCGTGGCTTCGGCAGGAGGTCCTGGAGCCAGCGCCCCATCTTCCCTTCTCAGTGGAGCAGGGAGCCTGAGACCCCCCTCCCCCAGGAGGGTCCGGCCCTGAAGCCCGGGGGGGGGGGCAGGGCACCTAGTGTGGATAGAGCGGAGCCTGAGCTGACTGCACACCGCGTCCAGGCCACCCCCGGGCAGGTAGGGCCGGGCCCGGGCACCCCGCACTGTCCCAGGGCAGAGTCCAAGCCAATAGCTTGTGGGACGTTAAGACGACAGGTTATTCTGAAATACCTGCTGGCCTTCACTTTGCTTCAAGAGGGCAAGCTGGCTGTGGCTGCCCCCAGGAGGAGGGCCGGGACTACCTCTGAGAGAGACCAGCAGGCCCAGACACCGGGTGGGTCCAGGGCAGTGGGGTGCTGTTGCCGGGTACCTCCTGGAGCCAAACTGCTGCAGGCAGCTGGCCAGGATGCCCTGGGGAAGGACCCATAGGTGCCAGGAAGAGCCCAGGATTCCAGGCAGAGAGAGCGAGCAGCAGCTGCAAAGGTCCTGAGGCAGGGGGTGTGGCTTGTTTGAATCAAAATAAGGAAGTGAGGCAGGAGACCAGAGCAGGCAGGGATGGGGGCTGCTGTGGGCTGCAGCGAGGCACTGGGTGTGCCCTGGGGTCCCTGACCAGGCTTCGACAGGGTGGACACGTGAAGACATCTGTGGCCGGGGGAGAGGCCTATGGGGAGGGCAGGACGGGGAGCTGCCGCCGCACGCCCCGGTGCCCAGCAGCACAAGCCTCAGGCGCTCGGAGCCCTGCGCTCGGGGAGAGGCCCGGAGACGGCCCCACGTTCAGGGCATCGGAACCCACAGGGCGGGGTCCTCCATGCAGTCCCCGCCCACCTCTCCTGCTCCTCCTTGACCCCCAAAGCCTCTGTCTCCCCTGTCGTCCCGCAGCCCCCACCTTGGACCGGGTCTCGCCACCTCTCTCTGAAGTGACCAGGGCTTTCTGTATGTCACTGCCCCCTACCTCGGAGCCTCCCCTGATCCCTGTGGCCCGACCCCACCTACCTCCAGCCCCTCTTCTGTCCCCGCCCTGCCCTCCAGTCTGTGCTCTGGCCACGCTGGCCTCCCTCTGTCCACACGCCTGACCGGAGACCTCGCTCGTGCTGTTCCCACTGCTTCTAGAATGTTCTCTCCCATGCCGCCCCTCCCCCTTTCACTCAGTAGAGCTCAGGCTTACTCGTGGAGGCTGCCCCTGAGAGGCCAGGCTAGTGGGCCCTGCCCCAGTCATTATCCCCATCCTCAGTGTGCACGTGGGTGCAGGGGACATGGGCTTGGCCAGCCACCTCTGCTGTCAGTCTGCGTCAGGACCGTGTCGTGAGGCTGGACCGACACACCGGAACAAGGCAGCTTTGTCATCCTCCCATGATGGGGCCCCGGTGCTGAGCCGCTTGCTGACATCGGTTTGCCAGCATCTGTCCCCACATGGAGAGAGGAAGGCTCCCGGGACCCCCTTCCCTGGGGCTTCTTGCACAAGCTCTCACTTGCCCAAATGGGGTCCCAGGGCCACACGTAGCTGCAGAGGAGGCTGGGACAGCAGGGGACTGGGTTGTCATGACTGGATCAGACAAATCACGAAGGGCACGCACCGCCCCAAGCAAGACGAGAAGAGAGAGCCTGGTCCTGAGGCCTGGTCCCTCTCCCCACGGCGCCCATGCTGTGGGTGGGACTCAGAGCCCTCAAGCTGGCGGGAAGGCTCTGCCGCGGCCCCACCGGGTCAGCCCAGCCCAGGGCAGCAGCGTGTGGGGCCACCGCCACAGGAGTTGGAGGCATGGGGGACGTGGGGCCTCGGGCAGCCTGTGCTTAGCTTCGCCCCACCGTAACCCCAGCTCTTCTCCCCGTGGGTGTCGGGCGTGGATCTCCCGTTAGAGGTGACTCTCGGTTATCGACCGTCTAGCGCGAAGCCAGCCTCGCGTTCCTGGAAGGCACCGTGCTGAGTCAGGGTGTGAGCCAGCCTCTCCCGCTTGCTCTCCAGATGGGTGCTTACACCCCGCCTTCTCCACCTGGACGCTGGTGTCCATAGATGGCATCAAAGGGCTCCCGTGCCCACTGGGTGTTTCAGGACACTGGGGAGCCCCCGCGGCAGGTCAGAGGAGGGAGGACATGAGGTTGGGATACTGATTTTCCAGGCTCCCTCCTTTTGGGGTCGCCCAATGTTATAGGCTGAACTGTGTCCTCCTCACATTCACATGTTGAAGTCCTAACCCCCAGGAACTCAGAATGTGATCTTATTTGGAGGGAGGGTCTTTACAGAGGTGATCAAACAGGAGGTCACCAGGGTGGCCCTGCCCCAGCATGACTGGGCCCCTAGAAGGAGGGGAATGTGGACAGACACACACACAGAAGTGCCGCAGGGGAAGGTGGCCATCGATCTTGGACTCTGGGCTCCAGAACTGTGAGACCATCAATTTCTGCTGTTTCAGCCCCTGTCTGGCACCTCGTTCTGGGACCCCTAACGGACAGACACATCCAGATCCCTTGACTGAAGGTCACCACTCCTTTCAAAGTTGGGAATGACCGTCTCCTTTGTGGATCCGTGACCTCTTCCTCTGGCCTAGAGGTGGTATCCACCCCACCCCACCCCCGGCCCTGGGCCCTGGGCCACCAAGTTGCCCCTGGTGGCTCCCTCCAACACCACGTGTCCGATGGTCCTAATACTGTGCCAGCCCGTTGGGACTCTGCCTTACGTTTTACAAGCTTTTTTGGATTTACTCTTATTTTTTTAGGACTTTATTATGCTTCTGAGTGAGATCGGCCTTTCTTGACTCACAGAATGAGTTCAGGAGTATCCCTTCTTTTATCATTCCCGGGAGGACTCTGGAATGATCTATCTTTGAGAGTTTGGTAGAATCATCTAGGAAATTCCCTGGGCCCGGTGTTTCCTTTACAGGACGATGCTGGTTCAGTAGCTGCTGCCCTGAGGGTTCTGTTTCTTCTCGTACCAGTTGTAGGAGGTTGCACTTTTATGAAGTTATCTCTCTACATTGCACATTTGTTGCCGTGGGCTGCTGATGGTGTCTCCCGTCACTTGATCTCACACAGGCTGGAGCCCTCACTTTGAGCCGGCTGCATCCTGGCCTCCCGCACCGCGGTTGAGAAACGTGCTTTACGTCAGTTGTTCTTTCATAAACACCCTCCATCCTCTGGTGGCTTTTAGGACCCCCTTCTCTCTCAGTCGCTGTGGGGTCACCATGACATGTGCCCACGTAGGGCTCCTCCCTAGCTCCCACCTGGCTTGCTGTCTGTTAGACACCTTGCTCATCTTGGAGGTGGCTGGCACCCTGCCCGGTGGTGACTCAGGGATCCAGCCTCCTTGTATCTGGAGCTTCCGGTGTCCACCGGGGCTTGGAGTCCACCCCCAGACACTATAGCAGAATGCTTTTTCTGTGTCACCACTGACCTCGGAACCCAGGGTCCTGTTCCAACAGTCACGTGCTGAGCTCACCATTCTGTGGGCGGCTAACTGGGCGTGGGCGGGGCTGGCAACTTGGCGTGGGCGTGGCTGACCGGTTTTCTGGGCGGAGCTGGCTGGTTCTCTGGGCGGGGCTGGCCGGTTTTCTGGGCGGGGCTGGACGGTTCTCTGGGCGGGGCTGACCGGTTTTCTGGGCGGAGCTGGACGGTTCTCTGGGCGGGGCTGGCCGGTTTTCTGGGCGGAGCTGGCCGGTTCTCTGGGCGGGGCTGGTTGGTTCTCTGGGCGGGGCTGCCTCCTCACAGCTGGAGGCACCAGCTAGTCTTGGGCTGTTCTGCTCCTGGAAGTCAGCTGGCCCTTGGATCCCGCCATGGGGTGACGAGGCCACATGTCGCTCCTCATCCAGCAGGTCAGCCTGGACTTGATCACGTGGTGGAAGCCGGGCTACAAAAGAAAGGAGTGGATGTGAGCATTTCCTTTGTGCTTCATTTGTGAAGCCAGCCAGATTCCACGTGGACAGACAGACTCCACCCTCAGTGGGAGGAGGTATATGGTCACATTTCCAGGGTGCGGGTGCGGCAGGAAGAGTCACTGCAGCCATCTGTCCCAACGATCTCCCACGTTCTCTGTCCCAGCTCAGGCTGCCGCCAGCTAAGGCTTAGACAACAGGAACTTATTTCTCACCGTTTTGGAGGCTGAAGTCCTAGATTAAGGTCCCGCAGGGCAGGTTTCTGGTGAGGCCTCCCTTCCAGGCTGCAGACGGCCACTTTCCCACTGTGTGTGTGCTCTGAGAGAAGGGGTGTTTCTGTGTCTCTCCGTCTGCTAGGAAGGCCACAGTCCTGTGGGACTGGGACCCCCCCTTATGATCTCATTTAACCTTAACTGCCTCCTTAAAGACCGTATCTCCAAATACAACCATGTGTGGGGGTTTGGGCTTCAACCTAAGAGTTTTGGGGGACACGATTCAGCCTGTGACATGCCCCCTCACTGTGAGGTGAATGTAAAGTCTGGGAGATGGTGCCGGTGCCCTCGGCTGGGCCTGGAAGTGGGGCTCATCCCTTCTGCCCACACTCCACTGGCCAGGACCCCTTCGTATAGCCCCGCCTAACTGAGGGGCACTGAAAGACGAAAGGGGTGGGCAGACACAGGGCACCGTGTTTGCCCCTGTCAGGCGGTACTGAGCACCTGGAGATCCCAGATGAGGCAGCCCAGCCCTGGTCCTGGCCATCGCCATGATCATTCTCTGAGACCCTCACACAAGCCTCATGTAGGGGCTCATCATCGTAATATGAGTCAAGAAGAGGAAACTGAGACCAGAGAGGTCATGCGGTGGTTGGAGTTCATTTCGGTGATGAGTGGCAGGTGCAGAGTCTGGAGCCGGGTCCCGTGGCCTGAGTCTGTGGCAGTGGCAGTGGCTCTGGCTGTGATGTCCAGCAGCAGCACCCCCAGCCAAGTGGTCAGTCGGGAATACAGCTGTGGTTAATGGCCGTGGGGTTCTGGGGAGGGGTCGCCGGTGTGGCATCAGGTCTCAGGAAGGTGGCTGTGCTTCTCTACCGCCCTGCCTCCCATAGCTCCCACTGGCTCCCCAGCCTCTCCTGGGCTCTACTAGAGGCCTGAAGCTCTTCTGGCAAATTCCTTCCTGCTCCAGTGGCCAGGTGGTCAGTTTCCACCAGCAGCCGTGGCTGGAGCAGCTGGGGAAATGGTCTCAGTCCCCTGGGGCTGCTGTTTCTCACAGAGCTGCAGGCCAGGCACCGGGAGGGCCGGGTTCCAGCGATGACTGCTTCCGGGCTGCGGACGGCCACCTTCTCGCTGGGCACTCATGTAGCGGGGAGACCATCTCCTTGTGCCTCTTCTTACAAGGACGCTATGAGGACACCATAGATTCCCAACTTCCGATGAGCTTACTCTGGAAATACTGTGAGTCCAAATGCACTGCATACATCGTAACCTAGTGAACGGCGCAGTTCAGCCTGGCCTGCCTTTCAGGGGACACACACGTCAGCCCACAGCGGGGCAGAATCGTCAGCAAAGTCTCTTATAACAGTGTGGACCGTCTCACGTGTCTCATTGAAAGTGAAAACCGAATGGTTCCATGGTGTAGATGGCTGTCAGTGCACCGATTGCTCCCCCTGTGACTGGGTGGCTGGCCAGGAGCGGCTGGCTGGGGGCCACCGGCCTCACAGACCGTGCACCACAGGTCGCTAGCTCGGGAAAAGATCCAAAATCAAAATCTGAAGTACAGCTTCTATTGGATGTGTATTGCCTTCCCACTGCCCTAAAGGTGAAAAATCATAAGTCGAACCTTCTATCACTGGGTCATGTAGGCTCTACCCTCATGACCTAATCATGTCCCAAAGGCCCGACCTCCTAACTCCATCCCACTGAGCGGGGTGGGGGTTTGATCCTCAACACGTGAATCTGGAGGGACACAAACGTTTGGACCACAGCAGGAACTGAGGAGCAGAGAGGCCCAAGGTGTGGGAGCAGGAGCCGGCCGGAAGCTCTCCCACCCGTGCAGCCGGGCAGCCACGTGGAGGGGGGACTGTCTGCCCGCATTTTCCGGGGCCGCTGCGGGAGCAGGTGCAGCTGCCAGGCGTGGCAGGAGCCTGGGTCGCGGCCAGCGCTTGGGAATGTGGCAGCGCACTGCCCCTCCCTGCAGGGATGACCGCATGCCAGGCGCCTGGGGCGGCGGATGTGTCGCTGGCCACAGCCCCCAGCCGCCATCCGGCTCCGTGCCGGCTGTCCCACACCGGCCCCTGGGGGCGTGAGATGTGTGGGGGCATGAATGGGGCTCTGTGGCTAGGCAACTGCTCCGCAGAGGGCGGCTGGCAGCTGCACAGGTGACGTGGGGGTGGGGGAGCGGGGGACTGGGTGGGGGAGGGTGGAAACAGAGCTGCCTCGGGGCCTGGTGTGACCCTGCTCGGCCTCAGGCCCCAGCCAGCCCCCCCCCCCCAGCATCACATTCAAGCCTGTGGCCCACCGGAGACTCACCCTCTGCCAGGTCCCCAGGGACAGTGGGGAGGGTGTGTCCAAAGGGGGTGAGCCTGGTCCTCTGCGCCCAGCATCCGAGCCAGGGCTCTGCCAGCCCCTCCCCCCCGGTGCCCCCATCCTCTGCTGACCTTGTCAGTCATGGCCTGAGACCCTCTGGCGATGCCCCGACATTAGATCCTCCTCAGTGAGAGGCGGGGCCCAGTGCGAAGGGCCCGGATGGGGTGAAGACTCATGTCCGTGCTCCACAAACGTCAGCCCTCCTGCCCGCGCAGATTGTGAGTTAATAGAACGCTGTTCATTCCTCACGCTGAGTAGGGCACTCCGCGTGTCCTCGCCCTCCCAGGGCACGGCCCCTCCCCTCTGCCGCTGTCCCTCGTCCTGTGATGCTCCTGGAGGCATGGGCATCGGAAGCCATCTTAGAAATGGGGGCAGATGTCCAAAGTGTAGGCCTGTGGGGCCCCCAAAACCACCTGGGCTCCGGAAGAACCAGGGGCCGCTGGACCGGGTCTACAGGGTGGAGGAAGAAAAATGCGGAAGCTCAGAGCCCCCCACCTGCTGCTGTGAAGGGGGCTCCTGTGGGTCTTCCACAGAGCAGCAGGGCCGGTGTGGGGGAGACCATACACAGACACCTGGGCGTCCCCCGCACTGGGGTCCACACTGCCCCTGACATGAATGGACTCTCCCTCCACTACCCTGCCTGGGAGAGAGGAGGGGGCTGGAGGGCCGGGGTAGCCCAGGTCAGTGGGTTTTCAGGGGTGTCTGGTGACAGCCTTGGGGCGGTGGGAGGGGCAGGTACCAGAGAGCGAAGCCAGGTTGGCCGAAGACACCCGGTGAACGTGTCTGCTACTAACCGTTGCTTCCTCCGCTTGTGGATGAGAAGCCCCCCGCGCCCCCATCGGGGCGGTGGGTGCGCGGCGTCTGACCCAGGCGGCACGGCTCCGGCTCCGGAGGGCGGGGCCGCAGGTGGCCGCAGGTGCCCCGCGGGGCGGGCTGCGCAGGGGGAGCCCGGCGCCCCGCCCGCGCCCCGCCCCCGCCGGCCCGCCCCCGCCTCCCCGCGCGCGGCCCGCCCGCAGCTATTTTGAAAGTGACCCTGGCCGGGCGGCCGCGGGGCGGCGGGGAGAGGCGCGGCGGGCGCCGCGGGAACCATGACAGAAGATGACCGAGGCGGCGCTGGTGGAGGGCCAGGTCAAGCTGCGGGACGGCAAGAAGGTCGGGGCGCGCGGCGGGCGCGGGGCGGGCGCGGGGCGCGGCGGCCGCTTACGCTCACTCTGTCCCCGCAGTGGAAGACTAGGTGGCTGGTGCTGCGCAAGCCGTCGCCGGTGGCAGGTGAGCGGGGCGCGGGGCGCGGGGCGCGGGGCGGACAGCGGGCGCCGCGGCCTCCGGAGCCGCCCGGAGCGCGGCCAGCTCGCCCGAAATAGCCGGCGGCGCGGCGCGGGCTGTAACCGGAGAGGCGCCGCGCCGGCCTGCTCCTGCCCCAGCCGGGACCCTCCCGCACCCCCGCCTCCCCGGGACGGGCCGCGGGGCCGCCAGGCTGGAGGGTCCACCGGGGAGAGTGCGGGCCGTGCTCCCCTCCCCCAACACGCAGCAGGGCGCCGCGGGGGTGCCAGGAACCCAACCTGGGCGGACCCTCCTACCTTCCCCCAGTCGGCAGAGGCTGGGCCACCAGGTGCGAACAGTGTTGCTTCGGTGCCCCGGGCAGAGAGCAGTCTACCCTGTGTTGGGGGGAGCAGCCCTGGGAGGAGGCAGGGCCGGCTCAGAGCCCCGGACTTGGGCATCTTGGTCTCAGTGAGCTGCTCTTGTGCATTGGCGCCGGGAGCCTGAGGCTGCAGCTGTCTGGGGGGACAGGTGCCCTGGAGCAGGCCCAAGCACCCCGGGGTCTGTGTGGGGTGCTGCGGGTGTGCATGCACGCCGCCTCACACGTGTGGGGCCACCGGGATGTCTTCCGGGCGCCTAGGGCATCTGGCATTTCCCTGGAGGGGTGTGGGGGCGCCCCCTGGGCCCCCTCCTGGGCCCGCGCCTCCTTCCCGCCCCTGGGCCTGCCCACGTCGCAGTTCAAGGGCCTGGTTTTGGTCATGGACAAGCTCTTCCTGCCTGGGCCCCAGCTGCCCCTCCAAGGGGCCCGGGGCTCGAAGTACCGCGCGTGCAGCCAGTCAGTTCACACAGAGACCCTGTGCCTGGGGCCCTGGGGGTCTGGTCTGGCGAAGCTCCGGGGAGGCCCGGTAGAGAAGGTGTAGGGGTGCGGACCCCAGCGGCCCCTGGGAGGCAGGGAATGGGGAGGTGCGGCTGGGCTGAGGGCAGCGGGGCAGAGGCCCTGGAAAGGTTGAAGAGGCTCCGGCCGGCCGTGCCTGGGGCTGGCGCAGGTTGCTGACGGCGGGGAGCAGGGGCCAGTGCGGGCCGAGGAGGCTCTTCAAGGAGGCGTCTGCGCCCCCCCCCCCCCCAAGGCCTCACAGGTGGTCCTGTGGCCTTCCTCCTCCTTGTGGCCACGGTAGGGGATGTGATTTGCAGCGGGGGGGAGGGGGGGCGGTGGATTTTATCTCAGCATCTAAGAGAGCTTCCTGCTGTGGGGCCGGGCTGGCGGCCTGCCTGCGGAGGGGGTTGCTTCTGCGCTGCAGGGGGTGGGCAGGGTCCCCCACATCCAGAATCTGGGTCTGTAGGACTTGGCCATCGCGCCTTTCCTGGGCCTTCCCACGTGCACCGGAGCATGGGAAACGGGGGCCGGTGTGGAGAGCACCGCAGGAGGGGGCGGGAGGAGCCTTCTGCAGAGGCAGTGGATTTGAGGGGGGCCGTGGGAGGAGAGAGGGCGGAATGCCCCAGGCCGGGAGGGGATTAGGGGTGATGGAAGGTAGGCTCCCGCTCCTCTGAGCCCTGCACCTACTACCTCGTGTCCCTGAACCCAGAGCACCCCCCCCGCCCCCATCCCTGCCTGCATCCTCAATGGCAAAGACCCCCAGTCACCACCCCCAGGCAGCCTGATGGGGGGCTGCGAGCCGAGCGGCTGTGGGCAGCACCTGGGGCCATGCAGACTCACCAGGAGCGGGGCCTCGGCACGTGGCCCGTGCAGCTGGTAGCTCCTCTGAGGCGGGCTCGGCACCGGGCGATGGCGGTGGGGAGGGTCTGTGTCCCACGGGAATAGGAACAGTCTCAGTCCCAGGCTGGGCAGAGAGTGTGAGTGGTGGCCAGGCTTCCTGTCCCCGTGGGGACCTCGAAGAAGGGGCCGGGGCTCCCCACAGCCCCGGGGTCAGGACCAGGAGTTAGGGAGCCCCGGGCTCGGAATGCACTGAGTGCTGCTGCCTAAATGCACTGCGTGGCCTGGACCAGCCCGGACGTGGCCCTCACCGTGCTCCCTGCTGAGGGCACACGCATGGCCCACCGGCCGGAGGGCTGAGCACCTACAGCCTGTGTGCCCGCGCTGAGGCCTGCACTCTCTGGGTGGCCTGTCCTCGGGAGTCACGCAGCCCTGCACCTCCCCCCCCCGAGCACTGTGAGTGTGTTTCCTCGCTGAGTCGGATCCAAAACAGGCTGGGTCCACGCTCCATCCTGGGCCTAGCGGTCAGCGGGGGGCCCTCCCTGCTTCGGCCCCCCCCCCCGTTGCTCCCTGCCCCCCCAGGCTCCCACCCCCTCGGCGGGGTCCCCTTGGGCTCCTGCCTGCTGCTGTGCTGAGGGCACCGTGTCAAGGTCACTGTGACAGGAGGGCTAAATCCAGCAGCCACTTCTGCTGCGTCTCACGAGCGTCCACCTCCGTCTCCATCCGCTGGGCCGGCCTCTCCCCGGACGCGGGGGCCCGGAGGTTTGCCTCTCCCCGGCCGGCCCTCCCCGAGCCTCTCGGGCCCTGGCTGCAAGCGCGTCTGAGGGCTCATGACCCCATAGTTATTTTTACATCTCCAGACGCCCGTGTCCAGCCGCCTGTGTGTGTCCGATGGGCCCCTCCAGCTCACGTGTCCAGGATGGAGCCCGAGCCCCGCCCCCACAGCCCCCACCCAGGGGCCCCCCGCCCCCCAATCCAGGGTGATGCCGGCTCTTCCAGTCCACGGAGAGGTCCCGTGGGGAAGGTCCCCTCAGGCTGTCATCGTGGTTATGCAGAGCCTGCGCCTGGCCCCCTTTCCCCGCCCGGCCTAGGCCAATAGCCCTTCTTGCCTGACCAGCTGCAGGCGCCTGGAGGCTTCTGCTCTTACCCCGCGTCTCTTCCAGGCAGTCAGATGAGCGCCCACTGCTTGCCGCCCTCAGGGCTCACCAGGCCCTCCTGAGCAGCAGACACAGCGGGCCACTCTTCCGTCCCTTTCCTGCCCGCAGGCCCTTTGGGTTCCTACCTCTGGGCCTTTGCACTGGCTGTTCCCTGTAGCACAGCACTGATCCCTGTGGGGCTGCCGCACTGCCTCCTTGCATCACTTGGGAGTGTTTTTGTTGTGGCCTCTGGGAGAGTCTCAGCCCTGCTCGGGTCCCCGCAGCCGCCCTGTCCCCTGAACGGTACTTCCCATAGTGGCCTCCTTTGACCCTGTGCCCTCTTGCGTGTCAGCTCCGTCAGGGCTGGGCTCTGTCCCCCGGGTGCCCTGGCTGCTCACAAGCACAGTGACCCAGGCGGAGGGCTTCTGGGGAGACGGACCAGGCTGTGGGGCAGGGCACCCCCACCCTGGGCTTGCCAGCAGGGTGGCGTCAGCCCAGGGCCCCGGCTGTGTTAGCCCTGGAGCGGGCCGGGCGGGTGGTGTCCAGTCCTCAGCTGGGAAGGCTGGGCTCTGAGGGCTGAGGGCGGGTCTGCAGTCGTGGACGCAGGGATTGAACAGCGGCGGTGAGCCTCCCACCACGGAACCCGTGCATGCGGAGGGGCCCGGCGGCCACGCAGTCACGTGGAGGTGTGCGTGTGTGTGTGTGTGTGTGTGTGTGTGTGTGTGAGTGTGTGGATGCCTGTGTGAGTGTGTTTTGTGGGTGGGTGCATGCGTGTGCCCCGTCTGTGCCCCTGGCAGTCCCCGATGCCTTGGTTTACCTCATTGCCTCCTCTTTTCACACTGCGACGGCCCCACCTGCCCCACTGGGCCGCCTGCTGCCTGGGCCAGACCCTCTCGCGCCCCGCGGACGGCTCCGTCTCCCGCACCTGGAGCCGGGTCCCAGGGCCCCTTCAGCCCTCCTGCTGTGCGTGGGGCGAACACGGCCCGCGTGGGGGGGAGCTGGACAGGGGCCCTTAGGGTGGGGCGGCCCCGTGTGCTCCCTGGGTGCCGACCCGGGGGCCTCACCGCTGGGCTTCCAGTCAGGGGCGCGGCCATGGTGCCTGGTGGGGCTGTGGGGGGGGCCTTCCTGGACCCGTGTCTGCGGGGTGCCGAGCTGCCGGTCCTCCCCTGCCCCGTTACCCTGCTTTGTCTCTGGCCTGGACCCTGGAATTTCCCCGGAATTTCTCCCCGGGGTGGGGGAGGGGCAGCTGCGGTCACAGGGCCCCACAGTCACTGTGTCCACACAGCGCCTCCCACAGTCCCGGCCCTGCTGCTGGGGGGCTTGGGGCACCGGGGGGGGTGCACCCGAGCTGCGCTGCCGAGACGGGGGCGCGTCCCCGCGGGTCCCCTCGCCCTGTTCCGCTCGCACTGAGAAACGCAAGCGGTGCCTGGAGGACGTACCAGGTCCCTGGGCGGCAGAGACCTGCTGGCTCGCAGTCCCCAAGGCGGCAGCTCCAAAATCTAGGTGTCGCCAGGGCTGCGCTCCTCGCTGAAGGCGCTGGGGAGCCTCCCGCCGCCCCTTCCAGCTTCTGGCGGCTCCAGGCGCCCGGCTCGCGGCCCCCTGGCTTTGCGACTGTCTTCACGTGGCCTCCTCTGTGCGTCTGTCTTCTCGCCCCACCCTCGTCCGGAGGCTCACCGTTAGGTCAGGGCCCCCCAGACGGTCCAGGACGACCTCACCTGGACCCTTAACTTGTAAGGTGGTGTTGCCCGCTCTGGGGTCAGGTGTGGACAGGTCTTCTGGGGCCTGATCGGCCCCCCGCGGGTGGGCAAGGTGCTCACGGCTCTGTTCGTCCGTCCGCACAGGGTGGGGGGGCGGCTGCGCCTCACATCGCGGCGTCCCTGGCGACTGGACCGGCTCAGGGCCGCGTGTGGCGCTCCCAGGCAGGCCCGGAGCCCGTCCCGCGGGTGTGAGCCTCTGGGGTGGGGGCGCCCGCCCCGCCGAGGGAGGCGCGGCCCTTCAGCAAACTGCCTAGACCAGAGGCGCCGGACCGCAGCCCCGAGCCACATCCAGCTGCTTGCTGTGTGTAGAGGTGTACCGGAGCCTGGCCGCTCACTGCGCGCTCCTCCGGCTGCTCTCACCGTCGGGCGCTGTGACGCACCTTGCCCGGCCCAGGAAGCCAAACACAGTTACTGTCCGGCTCTTCACAGGAAGGTTTGCTGACTCTGCTTGTGGTTGTATTCCTGGGAGCATGACTCCTAGAACGAAGGAGGTGACAGTCTCACTCTGCCAGGCAGGTCAGGCCAGGTCTAAAGTGGCCTTTCGTTCAACAGATCAGCCTGCACCGTCCCCATGCTGGGTCCTGGGACTGTCCCTGCGCAGGAGCGGAAGGGGGCCGCCTTCAAGAGCCCGCCCTCGGGGCTGGTGGGGGTGGGGACAGCAAACAGACAAGGCACAGACTACCTCGAGGGGCCCTGGACCCTGCGGCAGGGCAGGGGTGCAGTGGGTGTGAGCGGGCCTTCCCCGGGGCGCGGTGGCAGGGCTGTCCCCACATGTGCTGCCTCCTCCCTGCAGCCCTCCTGGGCTCCCTTGGTCCAGTGAGGAGGCCCTTACCTTGGCTCCTTCTTAGCCCACGGGCCTGACTTCTCCGGTGAAACGTGAGGGGACATATCAGCAGTGACACATGCCCTTTGCAGCCATGGCACTTCTCTCTCCGTGGCCCCTCCCCAGGCTGCTCCTGGCAGAGAACTCGCCGGAAGCCTCAGAAGACCACATGGTGTTCACACATCTGCGTTTTCCTGGTGTGAGCCCCTCAGACACGAAGGGGTTCGCAGCGGGGGGAGCCCGGCCGTGGTCCCCCTGACGTCGAGGCTACTTCATGCCACAAGGGCAGAGGCGTTGAGGGCTGACTCTGCCCTCTGGGCCTGACTGGGGAGGTCTGGGCCCCCCGTGGCCCCCCCTTGGAGGGGCCGTCACTGAGCTTTGCTGGGCCTCGCACGGCGGGAGGCGTGTGGCATTCAACACCATGGCTCGTCCCCGATCCGGCTGCAACGATCCGAGCGCGTCGAGTTCTGGTGGGATCTGGTTGTCACGCGGGTTGGGGGGGCCTGCTCTCCGAGGTCAGAGTGGAGGTCACTGCACCCCTTCCACGGAGCCTCCCCAGCTTCCTCTCCCTCCTCTGCGGCTCGCGCCAGGGGCCGAGTCCTCCAGCTGTCTGGTGGGGTTTGGGGCGCCTCACACTTCCACGTGCTCCACGTTCACGTCGGGCCCCTGAGCCCTCCACCCTCGCGGAGGAAGGCGCGCCTGGGGCCCAGGTGCTGCCGAGGGCCTGGTGGGTGGGGACGCCCTGTTAGGCAGGCCCCAGGGAGGGACAGGGACCATCTGATCCACCGTGGTGCGCCCGGGGCCGCGTGCAGCCTCAGCGGCTCTGGCTTGCCGGCCGCTGGGGAAACAGTCGGCGACTACGAGTGGGGACTCCAGGGCAGAGGCGTGTCCCCTGCCGTGGGTGAGGCAGGGACATGGGTCCCGCAGTGGGACCTAAGGCCAGGGGCTCCCTCCCCTCAGGCTGGAGAACGAGAGATCCAGGAGGCGCAGCAGGAACGGGGCCCGACCCTAGGCCACCGGCCACAGCTGCCGTAGGCCCCGCGACCCCTGAGGGTGGCCCCCGTGGGTCCCAGATCCTGGGGCAGAGTGGCTGCCCTGCTGGGGGACGGGGTCAGGCCCCGCCGTGAAGTGTCCTGGGCCCACTTCTGCCCACATGGCCCGTGGGCCGTGCAGGTGGGCGACGCCACTGGCTGGGTGGCTGGGTGGCGTGCTCGGGGTCCCACCTCAAACCGGGGCTCTCCGGGCGCCGCGGCCTCTGCGCGGGAGGCGGGGGGCGGGGGGCGGCGTCCGCGGCCCCACCGTGCGTCCTGTCCGGCGCCCCCGCAGACTGCCTGCTGATGCTGGCCTACAAGGACAAGTCGGAGCGAGCCAAGGGCCTCCGGGAGCGCAGCAGCCTGACGCTGGAGGACATTTGCGGCCTGGAGCCCGGCCTGCCCTACGAGGGCCTGGCCCACACGCTGGCCATCGTCTGCCTGTCCCAGGCCGTCATGCTGGGCTTCGACAGCCGCGAGGCCATGTGCGCCTGGGACGCCCGGATCCGCTATGCGCTCGGCGAGGGTGAGTGAGGCCGGGGCGATGAACCCCGTGTCCGGAGGCTGCAGGGCTGTGCCGTGATCCAGGGCGCGGGGCCCACGGGTTTGCCGAGCACCTCCCCCCGGCTGCTCTGCGGCCCCCGGGGGCGTGGGGGGCTCTGCGCCTGAGCCGGGGAGGCTTGTCCTGGAGGACACAGTGCGGGCTCTGCGGGGTGGGCTGGCCGGGCGCAGGGGAGGGGCAGGATGGGGGTGTGCGGCCCTCACGCCCGACACCAGGAAACACGGCCTTTAGAGACCTCAGTTTCGATGCCTGAGCCTGGGATGCACACGATACCAGCATTTAGGGTGAAGACAGGTTTGGAGCCTGACGACACGAACCCATGAACCCACGAGCAGCCTTGTCTTTATTTAAACATTTGATACTTTGTTCCTCACGGACTTTTGCATTTGCTTAAAATAATCCTTACAATCTCACCAGCCTGGTGCTGAGACCCCGGTGCCGAGGCGGGGCTTTCTCCAGAGCTGGCTGAGGCCGAGTCTGGCTTGTTAGCAGGGGGAGGGTGGGCAGGGCGGCCCCCGAGGGCCTGGTGCCCCCAGACTGGGGCAGTGACTGGTGCACAGGAGGGGAGTGGAGGGCTGCCCGCCTTCTGGCCCAGCGCCCCTGCCGCTCTCCTCTCGCCCCCACTCCCCGGGCCTCTGCTCCCAGTGACGGCGCCCTCTCACCCCTGCCGCCCTCAGTGCACAGGTTCCACGTGACAGTGGCTCCAGGCACCAAGCTGGAGAGCGGCCCCGCCACCCTTCACCTCTGCAATGACGTGCTCGTCGTGGCCAGGGACATCCCCCCTGCCGTCATGGGGCAGTGGAAGCTGTCTGACCTGCGGCGCTACGGGGCCGTGCCCGGCGGCTTCATCTTCGAAGGCGGGACCAGGTGTGGCTACTGTAAGTATGCGGCAGCTCGGAGCCCCGCTTCACCCCGGCTTCACCCCGAAACCCTCGGCCTGGCGCCCCCCGCCCCGTGCGCGGGCTCGGAGGGTGTCTTGGACACGGGGCGGGTGAGGGTGAGGCGCCACACAGCCCGACGCTTGGTGCTGAGGCCGAGGCCACCCGGTGGGGTGGGGGCCGCACCCCTGCAGCCAGGCGGGCCTGTCACGGCGCAGGGCCCTGTGCCTGAGGTCACAGAGTGTCCAGACGGAGTGAAAAAAAAAACCAGGGGAAAGGATGAGGGTGTTCACGGAGCCTGTGCCGGGAAACACATTGTGGACCGGGGTCCCCGGGGACACGCCGCGCCGGGGGGCCGGGGGGCCGGGCAGGCGAGCCGCTGTCCTCCTGTGCGGATGAGGCCCCCGAGCCCTGAGGGTCCAGTGTCCAGGGGCGGCCGGGTGCTGGGCTGGACAGCGGGTCCCGGGCGGGAGCTGTGCGCCTGTCTCCGTCCAGCCTGGGACCCCACCCGACGGCGGCTGGGCCGCCCCTGCGAGCTCCCGCGCTCACCCGCCCACGGGCTGCCCTGAGGACGACAGGGGCGCACAGCAGGGGTGGCCCACGCGCACGGCGGATTTGCGTGCGTCCACAGGGCTCCGGGACCTGGGTCCTGCCGGGCGCCCCCTGTAGAGGGACTGCGCTTGCGGCCGTGTCCCTGCCGCCGCTGGGCCCTCGTTCAGCAAGGGTGGGCCGTGTCGTGGCGGGAGGCAGTCGCAGGGCCCTGTGTCCAGGAGAAAAGTCATCAACTACAAAGACACGAAGAGATCAGCTAGCGGGGGAGGCCGGAGCTCCCGCTCAGGCAGCGGGTCTGTCGGTGGCAGGTCCGTGGGTGGGGGGCGGTTTGGGCAGTGGCCCCGGGGCCCTGGGGGTGGGCACACTGCTGAGCTGTCGGGGCGGGTGGGACGCCAGCTGTTGCCCCTGCTGGATGCGCCCTTGGGGCACCGCGTTCTGCCACCCTCGCGGTCCCAGCAGTCTGGGGTCCAGAGCAGGGGCGGGGGGCAGGGGACCGCCACCCAGCTGTGTGGGTGGTCGGAGCTGGGGGCCACGGTGCGCCGGGTCTGGGGCAGCCCTCCCCACCAGACCCCCCGGAGGAGCGGGCATCACGTGGGGCTGCTTTGAGGACGGGGTGCAGGCCGCCTGGGGTTGTGCCGGCCTGTGACCTCAGGGAGGCGGGTCAGGGGGACTCCACCGGACATCACATAATAGACGGCACTGGATGTCTTCCTTCTGAGGCCTCAGATTTAAAGTTCCCACTCGGTGCGGGTGGCTACTTCCTGCCGGTGAGCAGTGCTGGGCATCGGCCTTGGCTCCGGTGGGGCAGGGGCTGGCGCTCGGGCTGCTGTGATTTCCCTGGGCCGCCAGCGATGCAGGGGGAGCCCTTCTGGGCTGTCCCGGGGCTGTGCCTGTGCAGACCGGACGCTCGGCCCCTGCGGGTCGCTGACCCAGGAGCACAGACACGCTGGGGGTTCCCTGCTGCCCCCCAACACCTGGGGGCACAGGTCCCGCGGGGCTCTGTTGTTCAGGGACAGTTTGCGTGGCTCTGCCCGTGTAAACTGGGTGTTTCCCTGGCCTCGATGCAGGGCTGCGTGTGGAGGGACAGTGCACCCTGCACGTGTGCTCAGACCACCAGGCTGCTCAGGACCAGGCGTCCAGGAGGAGGGCGAGGCCCAGGCGGGACGGGAGTCAGCGTCCTGGGGCTGCCGTAGCAAATGATCACCAACTGGAGGCTCAGAGCAACAGAAACGGTTCCTTCCCAGTTCTGTCCACAGTCAGGGTGCAGGCCGTGCTGGCCCCCTCCAGGGCCCCCAGGGGGGCTGCTCCGGCCTCTTCCGGCCTCTGGTGGCCCTGGGAGGCCCTGGGCTTGCGGCCTTGTGGCTCCAGCCTCTCCCGTGGTGTCACACGGCCGTCTCCTCGGGTCTTCCGACTCCAGGGGACTCTGGTCATTGGATTTAGGGCCACCTGACAATCAGGGTGCCCTCGCCCCACCTCCCTCCGTTATACCTGCAAAGACCATTTTTTCGAATAAGGTCAGGTGACACATTATGGGATGGAACGTAGCCTTTGCGGGTTCAGCCCATGGTGTGAAAGCTCTAGAATTTGGGTCCTGATGGGCTCATGGGCCTGGGTGCATTTAATCCGGAGGACAGGGAGCTGGGCTGGAATCAGGGGTTAACGTCCTCTCCCTCCTCTGGTTCAGCCCGAGCCCGCCCCCGTGCCCCCCAGGACCGCACCCCCTTGGCCCTCAGCCACAGACAATTCCCCAGAGAGCAGGAAACGGTGACCCCAGCCCTTTGCCCACCCTGAGACATTTGATGTGACTGCCCGGGGTGGGGTCATGGCCCCGGGAGGCGTAGGGAGGCATCGGGGCAGGTGTGACCGCCCTAGTTTGGCTGAGGCCTCTCAGGGCCTAGCCACGCAGGTGGGGGCTCGATGCGGCTCGGGGCACCTTCCAGGTGGGCGTTTTCTCCCTGTGGCCTGCGCGTGGACAGTGGCTCAAAGTCAGACGGGAGTGAGCTTGTTGGCTGGGAGTCCGGGGTCTCCCGTCTGGCCTGATTCTCTGTCTCTGGGGAGGGCCCACTGTGTGTGGTCAGGGCTTCGGGGCGTCAAAGAGAATGGGAGAAGGGGGGTCACCAGAGCCCGGGGGGGCAGCGAGCTGGGCCTGGAGGTGGGTGGAAGCCTCCAGGAGGGGCCCAGAGGAGGTCTCCGCCCCCTGCATTGGCTACCCCCCCATCAAGGGCATCTCAAGGGCGTTTTCACAGCCACATGAGCCAGCTGCCTGAGCGTCCTCGGATGCTGAGGAATCCAGCCGGTGGCAGAGGCACCTCATGGCCGGTGACCCTCAGGAGCGCCCCACCCACGTCCTGGGAGCCAGCCTCCGCCTGAGCTGCCTTCCTCCGTGCTCTGCCCGGCTCTCTGGGGCCGGCCCGTCGCTTCAGCCTCTTGAGGCACAGTGAGCATTTTCAAATGGTTTTTTTTTTTAAGCAAGTAAAGGACGAAGACCTAAACCAGGAGAAACTCTTTGCTGCGTATTTAAGGCACCAGCGTGTCCGGCTCTGAGAAGTCACCTGGGCCTCCTCCGGATCAGGTGGTCTGGATGCCGGGTGGTCCCGGCAGCACTGGGGGAAACCCTGGTCTCTGGCCCAGGAATGTGCGCAGAGGACGGAGCGTGTCCCGTGGCCTCCGTGCCCAGGGGGGGTTGGCGCTGGGGAGCACGTGGCCAGACGGGGAGACCTGGGAGCCGGGACGAGACCAGTGTGAGATGTTTCCGGTCCCAGGGTGGCTGGGGGCGGGGCGCAGTCCCCAGCGGGGGGTGTCGGAGAGGCGAGCTGAGGACGGTCTGGAGCAGGGTCAGGAGCCGGGACAGTGGGTGCCAGAACCCCCAGGGGGGCCCGAGTCCCGCTCTTCCAGGGGGAGACCCCTGCGATAAGCCCGCCCCTGTCCCCGCGTGGACTGGGGCGCTGGGACCAGCCCCGCCTTCTGCGCTGGCTCTAGGTCAGCAGGCCACCGCTGGCACAATGTTCCCGGTGGCCGAGAGTCAATCTGAGTCTTCCAGGCTTGGCAGGGCCCTGGGCTCCATGGAGAGAGCAGGCCTGGGGTGCAGTCTCCGCCCACGGCTCCCGGCCCACGGCTCCGCTCCGTGTCCACAGGTCCGTGCCCACGGCAGGGGTGGGGAGGACGCCGGCGGCCGCAGCCCTGAACGCCGACGCTGGGGCGTGAGGGCTGCCTCCGGAGGCTGGGAGGGGCCCCTGGCCTCCCGGTTAGCTGGGTCACTCAGGGCTGGTGGACAGAGCCCTCACTTGGCCCTCGGGGCGCTGAAGAGACCCCAGGCCTGCCCCGACGAGCTCCTGCCTGAGCCAGGAGTGCCCAGCGGGGCTGCCAGAGAGGAAGACGGGTCACTGAGGAGCGGCCTCAGCCGGACCTCGCAGGAAGCGGGGTGTGGACAGAGGCTGAGGCCACCCCTACTTGGCTCACCCAGCAACGTCCCTACACTGTGCTCAGGGCGGTGCTGGGTCCTGCTTGGGCTTTTGTGCCTGGGGACATGTGTGCATGTGCATGTGTGTGTGCGCACATGCATGTGCTTGTTTGTGCACATGTGTGTGCACGTGTGTGCCTATATGTGCCCTGTGTGCATGCGTGCACGTGCATTCGTGTGTGCACGTGTATGTGGGTGCAAGTTTGTCACAGTGATTGAGGCACGTGCCGGACACTTAGTGGGGGCGGCTGCAGTGCAGGCTCCGCCCTGGAGTGGTGGCCGTGAAGGGGGTGCGGGCCCCCCCCAGGCACGGGCAGGACAGGGCCTGCTTCCTGGAGGGGGTGTTCGTTCTGTTTGTTTACTGGGGTAAAACATACACAGCACAGAACTGACCATCTTAGCCGCGGTTAAGCGGACAGCTCTGGGCATTAGGTGCATTGGGGGTCGCGCAGCCATCCCCACCCGCCGTCCCCAGAACTCTCCCATCTTCTCCAGCCGACACTGGCCCCAGGAAGCGCTAACGCCATGTCCCCTCCCCCGGCCCGACACCCTCCTTCCACTTTGTCTCTATGACCTGACTCCTCCAGGGGCTTTGCAGACGTGGGATCGCACAGCATCCGTCCCTTCCTGACACCGCGTCCTCCGGGCCCACCCCGCGGTGGCAGGTGCTGTGCGGAGGGCCAGGCTGTGTCTGCCCCTTCCTCCGTCAGGGCACGGGCTTCTTCCTCCTCTGTCTCTCGCGAGTGACAGCGCCGTGACTGTGGGGGTGACAGTATCTCTTCCGCGTCCTGCTCGCAGGTCCTTCTGGGGCACCCGGATGTGGGAGCGCCGGGCCGCCGGCTGGTTCTGTGTTCGAGTTTCGGAGGCGCTGCCACGCCGTTTCCGCGGTGGCTGCCCCGGTTTGCATTCCCACCGACGGTGCCCCACAACCTCGCCAACGCCTGTTCCTTCCAAAGGCCTTCTGTTTTGTTTTCAATCGCAGTCTTCCTAGCGGGCGAGATGACTGGGTGAAATTGAAAACTTGACTTCAAGTGAACTTCTTTTGTTGAACTTGGATCCGTTCTTCCAAAAAAGAGCAAAGAAACATGAAATTCTAATCGGTAGAGGTTTGACTCTGTCAGGAAACAGGGCATTTCACGGGTGAAAGTCTAACACCAGGCAGGTTTGGTGCTGCCTGCACAGAGCTTTCTAGAACCTTCTCAGCACGGAAGTCCACCAGATGCTTTCCGACGCTCTCTCCCCAACAGGACTTCCACCGTGTGGTCTCTGTGTCCACGGAGCCGGGATACCGACCGCTGGCAGAGGTCATCTGAGGACTAACTTCCCGCAGGCGTCAGCCCACGGAAGTGGGTGCACTGAACGTTTGGCTGGACGAGTGATTTTTTTCCCTCGGGGCTGGTGACCCTTTCCGTGGGGTGGGACAGCCGTGCCATGGAGATCGTGTCCTGGGGGGAATTGCATTTGTAAGGCCGGTGAGGTCGCCTGCAGCCCCTGAGAGCCCTCAGCGTCTGCCTAGAGCAAAGGGTGGCCGTCCGCCCCGGCCGCCCCTCCTCCTCATCCCTGTCTCCCCATGTTAATTATCGCGGAGCGAGGAGGGACCTGGGTGGGGACGGCTCGCCCTGCGCCGTGTGGCGGACAGGTCTCTCAGATAGCGGCACTTGGTGGGCGGCCCTGGCTGTGGGGCCAGGACCGTCTCGGACACGGACCCTGCCTCGGGCGGGGCTTCATGAATGGGGACGGAAGGAAGTGCAGGTGCTGTCTTTGCGGTGACCACATGCTAGACAAGAGATTCAAGCAACGCTTTGGGGGGGGGGCGGTCAGCTTGCCTCTGCTTCCCTCTTTCCATCCCCCTCAGTGCTGGGGGTCCCCAGGGCCAGACACTGAGGCCACAGTGCCTCAGAAGTGGTCCCTGTCTGTAGGACGCCGGGCTGGGCGGCCAGAACGGCACCCAAATAAGGGGGTGTCACAGGGGATGCCCCAGAGGAGGCAGCCCCTGAAAGAAGCACCGAGTGAGTGCTCTGGGGTCAGGGGTCCGGGGAGGCAAGGTTAGGTGAGCAGAGTCCCTGCAGGTGAGGTGACATTGTAGGGGGCCGGGGGTGGGGAGGGTGTGCTGGCCAAGCTTAGGGAGCCCCCGGTGTCCCAGGGCCCGGGGCGGGAGAGGGGAGCCCGAGCTCCCCACTGCGGCCAGCGAGCTGTGTCCTGGAGCCCTGCCTCCCTAGGGACGGGAGACTGTGCCGACCCCAGGGAACCTCTGCCGTTAGCTCGCGGGCGCGTGTGGGGGTGGAGGCCGGGCTCCCAGGCCTTGCCGGCTAGGTCTCAGGGAGCGTGACACTCAGCAGACGCCCGGTGGAATGCCGCCGGCTCCGCTCCCCTCGTAATGTGGTTTTTTATAGTCGGGGGACGGGCTGTGCTGTGGCCTCCGCCAGCTGACTGTGAGCTCAGGATTAGAGGCCCGGCCCCTGTGCGCTGGCGGCCCGGCCGGCTGGGGCGGGGACGCTGGGCGCCGGCCTTCCCCTCCCGGCCCCCCAGCCACTGGCTGGGGCACAAGCCGGCGGCCGGCAAGTGCCAGCTCGGGGGCCCATTTGTCTGGCCCGAGGTTCTGTGGGGCTGGGATGTGCCCTGATGGCCCAATGGCCTCTCTGGGCCTCAGTTTCCTTATGGCTAAAGCAGGCGTGTCTCCTGGTCCAGGGGCGTTGAATGGATGAGGCTCGACAGCTGGAGGGGGCTGCCCCCCCAGCCCTGGCATGGCTGCCAAGGGGCACGCGGGCCCTGCCACGTGTGGGGCTGGCCTGCGTCCCTGGGAGCCCGAGAGGCAGGCGGTGATGGTGGCTGGAGGCCCACACAGCCCCCTTCCCACCCTGGTCCGCCTGTGGCCAAGGGACCAGCCGAGCCTGCCTTTCTTCGGGCGGTGGGCGGGGCCAAGGGATTCCTGTGCGGTGACATCAGTCGAGTGTCCACGTGGCCCACTGTCCCCATTCACTGGGCAGGCGGTGAGGGATCTCATTCACCCTGGCGGGGCTCCGGCCTGGCGGGGGCTGTGGGCTTGCTGACTCACGCAGCCTGCCCTCTGCTGGCGGGGAGCCCGTGGGCACGACCTCAGCCTCCGCCCTCACACTGTGGCCCGTTTCCCGCCCCAAAACAGCCAGGAAGGGGGCCCATGCGGTGGGCGGGACACGGCAGTGGCCGCCTGGTCTGCAGGGCAGAGGCCTAGCTCGCGCGTCATCTCACCCTCAGCAGCCCCGGGTCAGGGGAGCGTCTCCTGGGTGTGAAGCCCATCCAGGTGGCCCCGTCCCTGGCCCCTGCAGTGGCCAGAGGGGCAGAGCTGCCGCCTGTGGCTGGGACGCCCTCACGGGCCTCCTCCCACGGCCAAATCCTCCCAAAGCGGCCAGCCCCTCCTGCCGGCCCGTGGAGCCCAGCAGGGAGAGTGGGGACCGGGCGCACAGACACGCCGCGTGGGTTGGAAGGACGGGGCGCGGCTCCCGGAGACTCTGGGCCCACGTGGGCCGCCGCGGGCTTGCTCCAGGCTCCTGCGTTGTTCCCCGGCGGCCGCTGGGCCCACCCTGCAGCGTCGTGGGCCGGGCTGACAGCAGGGTCTGTCCCCACCCTGCAGGGGCCGGAGTCTTCTTCCTGTCCTCAGCCGAGGGAGAGCAGATCAGCTTCCTGTTCGACTGCATCGTCCGCGGCATCTCCCCGACCAAGGGCCCCTTTGGGCTGCGGCCGCTTCTCCCAGGTGCGTGTGGGAGCGTGGCCTGGGGTGGGGGGGCGCCGGGGCGGGTGGGCCCCTCGGTGAGGGGTCGTGCTGCCGGGCTCCCAGGGGGACAGCTTGCACCCCCAATGCCCTTCTGAGCCAGACTGGGGTGGGGGCGTGGCCCCGTGTGACCAGTGTAGCGGATTGAGGTCGGGCCCGGCCGGGTCCTAGCCGGAGTTGAGGCTGCTTTGTGAGGTGGCCTCACAGGACACTGGGGGGTTGGCGCATCTCGCTCCCTCTCTTGCCTGGTTGTGGCTGGGGTGCATTCGTCGGGGACCCTGGGCCAGGACTGGGCTGGAGGCCAGACGGGCCACGCTACCCCAGGCACTGGGGGGCTCGGAGCAGGGCTGGACCCCTAGGCTCTGGCCCCTCCCTCCCGCTGGAGGAAGGTCTGGGCTCCACCAGGGGAGGGGCTGAGGCTGGTCCCGGAGGCCACACCGGGTGGGGGGCCCTTGTCCCATCGCTGGTGCTCCCCACAGCCCATGAGGTGGCCCTTGTCTCGCTGTCCAGGTGGGAGACGACAGCCCCTGGCCACGCGACAAGTAGTCAGTGAGTTCATATCCATGGTCCCCTTGTGAGGGCAGCGCAGCCAGGGCGCGGGTACTCACGTCTCCCTTGTCCCAGCGCGGCGCCTCATCCCACCTCCACACCCCACACAGGCCCAGCGGGCTGGGGACGGGCTGGGGACCCAGGGCGTGGCGTCTGTGGCCTGAACAGCCGCAGTCTGGGCTCTGCTGGACGGCGTGTGGGCGCCCTCTGCTGGCACTCTCCTGCCTTGCAGCCATACATGTGGCTTAGATAATGGGTGTGGATGGGCAGGTGTGGACAGCAGTGTGGGTGGCAGTAGTATGGACGACAGAACAGTGGGGACAGGGGTGTGTGGACAGTACAGTGTGGATGGAAGAGGTGTGGACAGGCGGTGTGGACAGGACAGTGTGGACGGCAGCGGTGTGGACAGGCGGTGTGGACGGCAGCAGTGTGGACAGGCGGTGTGGACAGGACAGTGTGGACGGCAGTGGTGTGGACAGGCGGTGTGGACAGGACAGTGTGGATGACAGCGGTGTGGACAGGTGGTGTGGACAGGACAGTGTGGACGGCAGCGGTGTGGACAGGCGGTGTGGACAGGCGGTGTGGACAGGCGGTGTGGACAGGCGGTGTGGACGGGCTGCCCTCTGCGTCTGGGCCCTGTGGTCACTAGGCTCTCCTGAGGTGTAGCCTCCGCTGTGTGCAGCTCAGGCTCCAGGCTTTCCGGGATGAGCCACATGGTCACCATGGCCAGGGAGGCCCCTCCTCACGCTGACAGTCGGGAGGGGAGGGGACGGATCAGAGTTCCGGGCCTGCCCTTCCCTGAGCTTACCCCGCGAGTTCCCGGCCTGGTCCCACTTTGCAGACGTGGACGGGGGTCTGATGCCAGTGTCCCACTGTCCCGTCGGCTCAGACAGGAAGTGGGCACTGCCCCCTTGTAGGGCCTGGGGGCTTGCCGTGGCCTCGAGGCGGAACCAGCACGGGGCGGCCCCAGAGGTGCTGGTCTCCTGTGACGTCCTGGGCGGGCTGCAGCCTGTTGGGGGGGCGCCCGCGGGACAGGGCTGCAGCCTCGTTTCTGCGGACTCTCCTCTCTGCTGCAGACCCGAGCCCGGGGGGGGCCGCCACCGCGGAGGAACGAGTGGCCCAGGAGGCCCTGGAGGCCCTGAAGCTGGAGAAGCGGCTCAGCCTCCTCTCCCATGTGGTCCGGCCGGGCAGCGGAGGTGGGTGGGCCGCCCCTGCTGGGGGAGGGGGCGGCGGAGGTGGGTGGGCCGCCCCTGCTGGGGGAGGGGGCGGCGGAGGTGGGTGGGCCGCCCCTGCTGGGGGGAGGGGGCTGACCTCTGGGCGCCTGCTTGTTTGTTCCTCCCCTGTGCTCATTCATTCGTTCATTCCCCCTGCTGCGCTCACTCATTCATTCCTCGCTCATGATGCCACAAGCACTACCTGCCAGAGGCGAGGTGCTGCCCCAGAGCTGGTGAGGGCTGGGTCTCAGTCCCACCAGCCAGGTGGCCTCTCCCGCCTCAGCGTTACCGTTTGCGCTAAGGCCAAAAAGCTCCTTCCCAGCTCCCAGTGACTCTTGGTTTTCGGGAAAACAGACAGAAGGTGCCGGCGGCCGGCCAGCGGCCTGCCTGGGGGTGCGGGTGGGGGGCCTGCCTGTCCTCTCTCACTGCTGCCAGGCCCGTGCGGGGCACCGGGAGGACCATGGCCTCCCCTTCCTGTCCAGGCCTGACCCTACGGGGCTCACGTCTGGTTCCCAGCGGGCAGGGGGGGGGGGGCACCGGCCGTAGAGAGGGCTGGAGGTGAAGGGCCTGTTGTCCGGGGAGGGGTCTGACCCACGTGAGCCTCCGGGCGGAGGGGGAGCCCGGGGAGGGGGCACCGCCCGCTGCCGCCCCCCAGCCCCCGAGCCGCCTCAACAGCCCCGCCCGCGCACTCTCTCAGGCGACGCCCGCAGCCTGTCCAGCTCGTCCTCGGAGGCCAGCCACTCGGACGTCGGCGCCGGCGGCCGGCTGGCAGCGTGGCCTGAGCAGTCCTCGTCCCCGGCCGGCGCGTCGCAGGAGGGCCCGGGGCTGGCGGCTGCCCAGGCCGCCGGGGAGGCCGCACCGGGCGCCTCGAGGCCGCCGCCCAAGCCGCTGCGGCCGCGGCAGCTGCAGGAGGTGGGCCGCCAGAGCTCGGCGGACAGCGGCATCGCGACGGGCAGCCACTCCTCCTGCTCGGGCAGCTTCTCTTCCTGCGCCGGCAGCAGCCTGGACGTGTGGCGCGCGGGCGACGAGTTCGGGTCCTCGCTCAGCCTGCCGCCGGCGGCCGGGGCGCCCGAGCCCAGACTGTGCGCCTGCGCCCCCGGGACAGCCGAGTACCAAGTGCCCACGGCCCTGCGGCCCCATTACGACACGCCGCGCAGCCTGCGCCGGGACGCCGGGGACCAGAGCCCCGCCGCGCAGAGCGGCCCCGACGACGGAGGGGCCGGGGACTCGGGGGGCCAGGCGTCCGCGGGGTGTCCCTCCGGCTGGCTGGGCGCGAGGCAGCAGGGACAGGCGGCGGAGGCCCCTGGCGAGGCCTGGGACGCGGGCAGCCCCCACGCTGGGCCTCCTCCGGCCTTCTTTTCCACGTGTCCAGTCTGTGGAGGACTCAAGGTAAACCCCCCTCCCTGAGAGCTGCGGCCGGGCCGCTGCTGCGGGGCTGGCTTTGTCCCTCCTGACAGGAGGAGAGGGGTGCCCCTCATGCCGCTGGCAGAGGCGCAGTGGGGAGGGCACGGCAGTGACCGGCGCAGAGCCTGCCCTCTGGGCGTGAGGCCTGCGGGGAGGGCCCACGGGACTGACCGGGATGCGGCTGGAAGTATGTTCTGGAAAGCGGGCTGGGCAGGGGGCTGGCAGAGTCCCGGAGCCCGAGGTTCAGGTGCGGGGGCGGGGGGGCGGGGGCGCAGGCCGGTGCCATCTCCTAGCTGGCTCGAGCCGTGTCCTTGGGGTGAGCAGGGCTGGGGGTGCCCCTCCCTGGCCGGGCCGCCGCCCTGTCGTGTGCCACTGCCTGCCTGGTGGACGGCCACTCTCACACCTCAAACCCGTCCCTCCAGTGCACAGTCACCCTGCCTGAGAAAAGGCAGCCCCCCCTGCAGCCGCCGCAGACCCCCGATTCCCGGGACAGGAGCTCGGCACATCTCGTGTTCAGGAGCTTTACTGATCCGCCCCGCCCCTCCTCTGCGAGGCGGCACCACAGCCGGCCCCTCCACCGGGAAGGAAACTGAGGCTCAGGAGGCGCAGGGGCGTGAGGGTCTGGGTGTCTGTGGCTCACCCACCCACTAGCCTTTCCCTGAAGCTGCAGCCTCCCTGAGGGCTGGGCAGGGCGGGCACGGCCGCAGCCCCTGGGGCGGGGGGCAGGGGGCAGGGTGGTGATGTCCTCCTACCGACCAGCCCAGCAGGGCCTGCTTGCCCACACCCCCCGCCACCCCCTGGCAGAGCTCTAGGCTGGCGGTCAGGCCTTCTGGAGGGCACGCGGGTGGCCTTCCACGGCCGCCTCGCCTGCATGGGCTGCAGCTGCGTCGCCTGGTTTGGTAGCTGCGCTCTGCGAGTTCGTGCACCTGCGAGAGGTGGGTGCGGCCCGAGCAGCTGCATTGGCGCCGTCCCGCCTGGAACCCGCCCCCACCCGGGGGGCAAACGGCTCCCCTGTAAATATCCCGCTTTGTACCTTCACCGTCGGCTGACGACGCCTGTCGCTTTCACACTTTTAAAGTCTGACACTGTTTGTAATACGTTCTTAGACTGGAAATAAAATATTCTTTTCTTACGGTCTGTTCTTTTCCACCTGCCCGCCCTCTCCGCCGCCGGCCTGGCCCTCCCGGCGGGGCCCCGGTCTCTGAAATCTGGGGGCCCGAGGGTCACAGGAAGCAGCATGAAGCCTCGCCTGTGTGGTCACCTTAAGTCTGAATGCACCGGAGGCCTGAAGAAGGAAAGGGGCTCCTGACAGCCGCAGGGCCTGTGTGTGCGTGTGCATGTGTGTGCATGCATTTCCACGTATGTGTGTCTCAAATAGTGAGTGTAACGTGTGCGTGTGTGGTGAGCATGTTGCACACATTTGCATGCATGTGCATGCATGGCGTTTGCACACATCTGGTGCGTAGTGTGTGCCTTCACGTGTACACACGCATTTGTGTGACATGTGAGGTGATGTCCTCGGTGGTCCCTTGGGCTCATCAGGTGGCTCCCTGTGTCCACGGGAGTGTGGAGCCGCTTCTGGGCCAGTGAGTCCCGGCTCTGAGCCTGGCCCCCACCCCTTTCCATCCCCCCGCTTTGGCGGCAGAGCCCCAGGGGCCCCCGGTCACGTCTGCGCATCCCGGGGGCCGCGCGCTGCCATGTCACTCCCACCTCCGCACCTGCTCACCACGCTGTGGGGGGCCAGCCCTGCCAGGGGAGTCAGGAGGACCCGGGTCCCCCTGGAGGCCGAGCTGGGCGCTCCGGCCGGGGTTCCCGCCACACCGCAGTGTGAGGAAAGCCGGGCTCTGGGGGCTGAGCGGCACCCCGCCCCTCCAGCTGGGCGGCCTCAGGCAAGTTACTGCACCTCTCTGAGCCTCAGTTTCCTCCTCCATGGATGGGCACAACAGCCCCCACTCCCCTGGGCACTCGGAGAGGGTCTGGCGAGGTGACAAACACAGGTGTGCAGTGGGTGCCTGTTACCGGGAACCGTACCCCATGGTCCTCTCCACCCCTGAGGCGCCCCGGCCCGTCTTGCTGCAAGAGAAATAAGGCTGGGAGCGGGGTCTGTCCCTGCCAGGGCCCCTCACCGTCCGGGCTCAGGCCTGCTACCCCCACCGGTGCCCTGCCCCAGACGGCCAGGGTGGGCCGGCGTCCCTCGGCCCAGAGCAGACGGAGACCCCAGCAGTGGAGAGGTCCGCCCCTCCCCCCACCTGTCCCTTTCCGCATCCTGGCTGTGGCCCCGGTGTCCTCGCCCGAGGCCGACCGCTGAGACTTCAGGGAAAGTCCGTTCGGGGGGCGAGGACAGAGGGGCAGCTCAGCCAGGTGCCCGCCTTGGTGTGTGGCTTCGGGGCGTGGCCGCGGACCTGGGCTGGTGGGGGCTGGGCTGTGGCAAGAAGTCCTCAGGGCAGGGGCCAGTGGGGGCGGCCGTGGACCTCTGCGGTGGCTTATGCATCTTGTGCAACCGAGTGACTCAGGAGGAGCAGGGCCGGGCCCTCCAGTGTGCACCCCAGGGTGGTCTCGGGGAAGGGGTGGGGGCGGGGCGCAGAGTGGGCAGACGAGAGCCAGGAGCCCTTCCTCCGGTCTCTGTGGGGCCGTGTGTGCCCAGAGGTGAGGGGTCCTGGCCCCCAGGAAGGGGAGGGGGCTCCTCATGTGCTCGTGTTCCACGGCGCCCTCTGCAGCCTGCCCAGCCCGGAGGGGGTTTGAGGCTGTACCTGCAGGTCCGGCCCCGGGCATGGGCGCGGTCTGCAGGTGGGGCTGTGAGCACTTAGTGTCCCACCCTGGGCCGGCTGTGGGGGGTCCGGGGGGCACCTGGCCTCTGATCGAGGGCAGGAGGTCAGACATGCCTGCCCAAGTCCTGGGCCCGCACAGGGCTCCAAGGTGGCAGGCTAGACCAGCTCCATGTGCTCGGGGTCCCTGGAGCCCGGCCCAGGACAGGGTGGGGCGCTGTGGTCCCCGGGAGTGGCGTTTGGGGCCCCTGTTCCCACATTCCTGTTCACAGCTGCCCACCAGGGCCCCCCGCTGGGCTGTGACTCCCCAGACCACTGGGAATGCTCTTGGCCCTGGCGGGGGCCTGCGCCTTAAAGGCTTCCAGAGACTGAAGCCCAGGGTGGCTACGGATGCGCCGGCCACGGGCCACTGTCACTCCCTCCCGGTCAGAGCCTGTCCTTAGCTCCGAGGCCACAAAAGCCCCTTCCTCCCCGGGCCCGCGTGTCCCATCGGACACCGCCAAGGGGCCACTCAGCGGTTCTGGGGGGCCTGGCTCCTCTCCCGTGGCCTCCGTGGCCCCTCCACAGGTGGGCACTGGGAGCGGGCCGGTGGTGCCTCGGGGAGTTGGGGTTCCAGCCCCTGTGCATCCAGCGGCCACACGCCCTGCGGCGCAGCCCCGGATGGGGACTGTGAGCAAGACTGGACTTATCACAGCAGGCGGAGGGGGGGGAGGGAGGGGCAGGGGCCAGAGTCGCCAACCCCTCTCTCCAGAACAGGGCAAGTGGGTGCGGGGCTGGTGGGCCAGCTGGGGCCCCAGGGAGATAAAGAGTCTGGGCCTGTGTCCCCGGTAGGTGGCCCGACCCCGGCGCCCGGTGTCACACTTGGATTAGCGTCCCGGCTCTCGGGTTGGGTGCGGGCTGAGCGTGAGCCAGATGGACAGACTGACATGTGTTCTCTCTGGTCCAGGGAGCAGCTGCCTCACCCCCTGGGCTTCTGATGACACACTCAGGTAGGCCCCCGGCTTTGCAGCGCCTCGGGACGGGGGGTGGGGGTCATGGTGGCTGTGGCTACGGCCCGGCCAGAAGCTGCACCAGACCGGGCAGCGCGTGTTGGCAGACGAAGGGCGCTGGTGGATGGGATGGAGGATGATGTGAGCAGTGGGGGGCCCAGGAGGCCCCAGCCGCGAAGGGGGGCAGGCCCGGGCAGTGAGGGGAGGACAGTGTGGTGGAGTGTGGCCAGCTTGCCCAGAGAGGTGTGTGGATGCAGTGGGCAGGGTCGGGCCACCTCGGAGCCTCTGCCTTCGGGAGGGAGCCCTGTCCTCGAGGTGACAGAGACGAGAGGCGAAGGTCCAGTGATGGGCAGGGAGTGGGGGTAAGACTGGGGGTCTCCCAAGCCCAGTTAGAAGGCGAGGGTGGGCAGAAGCTGGCTGTGACCCGGGGAAAGGCCTGGGGAGTTGGGGGAAGCTGAGCTTTGGGGAAGGTTGGCCTCAGGCGGGGGGGGGGGGGGGGAGGAGGGATAGCTGGAGGTTGGGGGTCAGCTTTGTGCCTTATATTCTTGGTGGAGCCTCTGGGCTGGGGGCCCCTAAGGGCTCAGGTCCTCCATCCTTCTCTGGAGATGCAGGACACATCGGGGCCGTTGCCTGCAGGCTGACCCGGTGTGGACATCTGGGGGCAGGAGGGGGCGGGCACGGCCGTGGGAAAGCCCCGCGCCAGCTGGCCTGGGTGGGGACAGGGTCCCGAGGATCAGCCCTGACCCAACCACCCCTGACATCCGCTCGCAGACGGTCCTGGACACCTCCCCCCGCCATCCAGCCGCCTCCTCATAGGGCCTGTGGATGCCTTTAACCCGGACACGGGGTGTGCCCGCAGCAGCAGACCAGGAGGGGGCCCACGTGTCAGGATCCGCTAGAGGGTGTGGGTCCTTCCCAGTGAGGCCAGGGGCTGGGGACTGGGGCCCCGAGTCCAGCAGGGACAGAGACGAACGGAGCCCAGGGTGGTGTGGCCAGAGCCTTGGTGATGGCGGGGCCGCCCAGGGCAGGCAGACCGTGAGGCTGGGGGAGGTGGGGGGCAGGGCAGCACTCATCGATGATCTGCTTTGTTCCGGAAAGCATTTGAGGAGCTTAGAGATAGTGGGAGTGGCTCAAACGAAGGAGCGGGGGGGGGGGAGGGGGATGTGATGGGACCAGAGTGGGGGGCTCACAGTTTGTGGCAGGTGGTAGAGCGCAGCACTCCTTGTCCCCCACAAACACCAGTTAGAGGTCGAGGCCAGGAAGGAGCAGCCAAGGGCAGTGCTGGACTTTCTGGAACTTTCCACCCCTCTCCTGCCTCCTATCCCCAGCAGACTGTGAACTGGGGAAGACATGGGTCCAACCTTAGAAGTAGCTGCGGAGTCTGAGGGACTTGTCCATGTGACCCTGGGTCAAGGCCCAGCCCCCTTCTTGGTTTCGAGGAGCCCCTGCGCAGGGGCCGGGCTTCCTTCCTAGTCTCCCCTCAGACCCCTTGTCAGCCCCTGAGGGGCTCTCCCAGCTCCACCCAGGCCTTTGCCTCTTTCACCTGTTGTTAGTCCTTTTTGTCCTCTGTTCCTCAGTATATGCCTCCTTCTCCAGGCAGCCTGCCCTGATTTTTTCTGGCCTCACTGGTCTAGGTGTCTCCCTGGGTGCCTCTGCCTGTCCTCTTGGGTTAAGTGGGAAGAGGGTGTGCATCCGCCCCTCTGTGTGCCATGGCCCCCTCCAGGTTGGCGGGGGGAGAGCCCCACACTGCTGGCATACAGATGGGTGTGCAGAGCCCACACGGACATGGTGTGGCCGGATCCTTCCTTGGTTCCCTGCGGAGGGAGAGGGCCCTCACCTTGAGCCACCTGCAAAGGCCCACCTTCCGCTAGGAGGGAGCCCCGCCCATCCGCTAGGAGGGAGCCCCGCCCACCTGCTAGGAGGAGGCTTCCTGTCCAGTGGCAGATTCTGTGCGACAAACGCAGCAGGGCCACAGAGCCCCTCGCCTCGGAGCTGAGATCTCCTGGGGACTGAAAACAGCCCATCGCTTGCGTGATAAGAGCACGCACTCTTCGAAGTGCCAAACGGAGCAGGCCCGGTGGCACGACCTCGCTGTGCCCCGTGTGGGTCCAGGCACCTGGTGCCCTAAGCCCGGTCTGCAAGCTGAGTGTCTGCAGGGCCCTCTCCGTGCCCCTTGGAATCAGCACGTCCTGCTCTGCCCAAGCCAGGAAGGTGGCCACCCTGCGTCCAGCAGGAACCTCCTGCCTTCCCTCCGTGGGGACCCTGGTCAGCTGTGGGTGCAACCAGAGTTAATGACCGGCACCACCAGACGCTCCGCCCCTCCCTCCCTCCCTCTGCAGCGGGCCCTCAGGCCGGCGCAGTGGGTCTTCCTCATCCCCTGTCGGAGGCTCCTGCACCCCCCTCCCGTGCAGGCCTCTCTGGGGGTCTGGAGCTGCTCTTGGGAGCCCCCCCACCCCGGCCCCTCCAGACCTGCTCGTCAGCACTGGCTCTGCCTGGCCACCATCTGGTCCCGGCCCTGGCCGGAGCTCAGGGTCTCTATGGCCTCACCTCCTGGCTGGGACAGAGCAGGCAGTACAGTGGCCCCCACCCCTGGCCTTGCTGGGGGGTCAGAGGGCATGAGGGTGAAAGGCACCCAGGGTCTACCTGCTGAAGCCCCCAGCACGGGGCTTGGCTCCCTTAACTCGAAGACAGGCAGCTAAGAGACAGGAGTCCCCATACCAAGCAGCAGGGAGCTGGCTGGCCCACCCCAGGGGACCCTGAGGACAGGAGTGTCGGGGAGTCTGCCAGACAAGAGCCAGGCAGGACATCACCCTGGGTCTCCTGCGGCCGGGCTCCTTCCCTGTGGCCTTGTGTGCAGGGCCATGGGGCCAGTGGGGGTGGGTCAGGTGTGCATCCCGGCAGCCCGCCAAGGGGCCGCACTCCCCTCTGTCCTGCTGCAGCCCCCCCAACACTTGGGGGGGTGTTGCAGAGTGAAATGGGGGAGGAGCAGGGGCACGTGTCTTGGGTAGGGAGGACTTGAAGCGCCTGGGGCCATCCTGGAGGAGGTGTCACTGTGGATGGGGGAGGGATTCCTGTGAAGATTCACTGGTGAGGGGGGGTGTCCCTGAAGCCTGGAGCCGGGGAGTGACCCAGGAGGACCGCTAAGGGGGTTGAGTGTGGGTGGCAGGGGGGCTGAAGATAGAACGGTGGGTCACCTGACCACAGTGGCCAGGGGGGCAGTCATGGGGGCAGCCACGGGAGCAGCCCGCTGACCAGCCTGCTGCAGGTGCAGAGGCGTGGGGAGAGGGGCACACCCTTCGCGGGAGCTCAGTGGTGAAGGGGAAAGAAAGGAGGCACTGGGTCTGGAAGGGATGCAGGGGCGGGGCAGGGCTGGGGTAGTCCAGGAGCCGGGGGGCCAGGAGGTTCCCCCAGGCTCAGGGTGGGGGGCACAGGATGGGAGGGGTGCAGGGGGAGGTGGGGGGGAGGTGGGGGGGAGCTCTCTGCCAATTAGTCCACCGCGTCAGCCTGGGTCTCAGCGGCCCCTGGAGACTCCCTGCCCTTCCCCCCTGCAGGAGACCCTGAGAGAGCGTGCAGCGAGGCCCCCCTCTACGTGAACATCCCCGTCAGCCCCTCCTCCAAGACGCAGCTGCACTACATGGGCCTGGAGCTCCAGGGAGCCGGCGCAGGGGTGCGAGGTGGGTCCCCACATGGGGGCTGTAGCCCTGGGGGCCTGGGGGGCCTCCTCCTCCTGGCACCCCCAACTCCATGCTCCTGCTGAGCTGTGTCCCATGAGGGAGTCGCCCCACTCGCCTCCAACCTCCCCTCCTCCCCCGACCCCACCCCGCCCCCGCCCCCTGCTCAGTTCTCTGCAGGGGGTGTGGGCCACATGGGGCTTACTCCAGGCTGGGGCTGCTTTCAGGGGCCGGCGCCTCCCGCTACGCGCAGATCGACATCACGGCCACCGAGGCGGCCCACAGGGCAGGGGCCCAGCACGCGCAAACCCGGGAGGAGCGGCTGCCAGAGCTGGAGCAGAAAAGGAAGGGGGCCCCGCGGTGAGGACGCCATGCCGCCCTGGGCAGCTCTGCGCGGCCGAGCAGGCCTCCCTTCTGCCGGCGGCAGCCGAGGGCACGGGGGCACCTGTCATCTTGGCTGCATCCCCGGTGGTCTGGGCTCTGTGGCGGTGGCCTCCTGGCTGCACGGTGGCCGTGGCTGGTCCCCACGCCCTCCCCGCCCCACGGGGCACCGGTGCGCAGACCTGGCCTCAGAAAGCCACGCCAGAGCTCGGGCAGGTCCGGAGGGGCCGTGCGTCCAGGCGCCAGCTTGCCGCTGGTTACCGGAGACAGCGTCGCGTCTCGGCCGCAGGTGCTCGGGGGATCGGAGAGCAGTGTCCACTGTGCTGGGACGCAAACTGCCCCCCTTCCACGGGCGTGGTGGCCACCCCACTGATGACAGACACATCCTCGGAAAACATGTGTCCCCAAACCACAGCAAGGCCAGACCAGGCCCCGCCCCTGCCGAGCGTCCTGTGCCGCCTGGTGCCCCCACTCCCGGGGCACTCATGCCCTGTGCCTGACGATGGTGCCGCTGATGAGCCCTGGGGCGGGAGGGCTGTTCCACCTTCGGGCCTGTGAGGCTGCCAGCGCGGACCCACGTGTGGTCGCCTGACGCACGGCTTCTTAGGGCACATTACAGTGAGTCATGTAAATAGTTTAAAATCGTTAATGTTCTATTTTTAATACACACATTATTTTCCTGAAGGATGAGGTGATTTCTCTTTCTCATGCTGTGTCTGTAATGGGCTGTGGCTTCGCTTGACCCTGGACATGGTTCTGTCACCTTGACACAGGTGCTCAGGGCCCAGGTTACCCCCACCTGGCAGGTCTGGGTGGGGTGTCCATAGTGTTTCCTCCCAAGGGTGCCTGTGCCCTTGGGGAGGCTGTGTGGCATTTTTATGACTCAGAGAGCGGAAAGGGTGGTCATGGCTCCACTGGCTGATGGGCATCTGGGTGCTGGGAAGTTTCCAGACTTGGTGGCTTCCTGACATTCTTCCCCAGGCATGAAAGGGAGACACTGGGTTGGGCCCTCTGACCGTCATCTCAGATGAGATGGGGCTCAGCTCTGCCTGAACGGGGTCTCCACCAGAGCCTGCTCAGATGCCTCCCTCCCATCCACCCACTCATCATCCATCCATCCATCCACCCACCCACCCACCGTCCATCCATCATCCACCCATCCTTCCATCATCTGTCATCCATCCACCATTCACCAACCAACCATCCATCCATCATGCATCAACCATCCATAAGTCCATCATCTATGTTTTTTAAAATTCTATTTTGTTGATGTTTTATATTTTTCTGAGAGAGACAGCATGAGCAGGGGAGGGTCAGAGAGAGAGGGAGTCACAGACTCTGAAACAGGCTCCAGGCTCTGAGCTGTCAGCACAGAGCCCGATGCGGGGCTCAAACCCACGAACCACGAGATCATGACCTGAGCCAAAGTCGGACGCTTAATCAACTGAGCCACCCAGGCGCCCCGTCATCTATCTTTCATCCATCCACCCACCCATCTTCCATCTACCACCCATCCAATACAAGCCATGCATCCACCCATCACCCATCTATCCATCCCATCATCCATTGTCCACCCATCCTTCTACCACCTATGATCCATCCATCCACCATCCATTCTCCTTCCACCATCCACCCATCTACCATGCATCATCCACCCACACCCACCCACCATCTGCCATCCATCATTTATCCATTACCCATCACTTAGCCACGATCCCTCCCACCCCACCCCAGTCCACTAAGGACCCAGCCTAGTGCGTGTAGCTGACACTCGGCGTGTCCTCAGCCGAGATCCCTTGGTGGGTATCCAGCGCCAGCACCCTTCTCCTTGCCCCGTCCTCTGAGCCGCCGCCTGACGGCCGGGGAAGCTTGCGAGTCAAAACAGAAGGAAGGAGGCTCAGCCCCGAGCCTGTGGGGGCAAGTGTCCTGGGTGGGATGCCAAGGCCTCAGCATGGATCTTGCGAACGAGCCAGGTTCTCAGCCTAACAGGCCCCCATGAGCACGCCCTGGACAAGATTCTGGGGTAGACTTCCCTTTCAAATGACAAGGTGGGGAGCGAAGCATGGCCTGCCCACCCCAGTCCGGGGTTCCAGCAGCGAGCGGATGCCCCCTGGGTGGGAGGGGCTCAGGTGTCCACACACATCAGCTCTGGGGTGGGCAGCCTGGGGCCCTGGGCCTGACCAGTGACCCTGAGCGGTAGGCGTCTGGGGTCTGCTGTTGTTCAAAATGAAATAAGGCTGCTGTCTTTTCAGGGTCATGGACGTTAGGCATTCACAGCTCCCTGAGGGGCTCAGCCACCACGAGCATGGGGGGGGAATGTGTGCTTTGGCAGGGAGGACTTCGGCCAAGGCCAAGGGTGACCGCCCTCCAGCCCAGGACGCCTCAGAGGGCGCGGGGCTCCGCCGGCCATGGCGGCCACACGGGCAGTTCTCAGGGCTGCACAGCGCTCGGTGGCCAGAGCCCGACACTGCGGTTAATGTTGCGGAGCAGCTGCAGCCGCCACAGGTGAGGCGCACAGGCCACTGTGTGGCCGGAGAGGGAGGTTCTGGGGACCCTGTGTAACTAAACCCAAGTTCCATCTGCCCCAGGTGCGGCAGAGACGCCCATGACACAGTCGGGTTTGCAGCAAGAGAAGGGTGTTTGTTCAAGCAGCAGCCAAAGGAGGAGCCTGGGTGGAGGGAAGGGGGTGCGAGGGGGAAGGGGTGGGGGTGGGGGGCAAGTCTCAACTCAGCGTCCTCAAAGGAGGAGAGTCGGGGATCTGAAGGCGAGGGAAAAGGTCTGGGTAGAAGCTGCAGCAGCGCTCGGGTTTACCAGGTTCACCCGGACCCCAGCTTGGGCCCCGGAAGGGCTGGCTGCCCGGCCAGGACTCCTGCAGCCCCCCCACCTCCCCGCCGCGCCCTCTGGCCTCTGTGGGCTCAGGCTGGGGCCCTGCTCAGGCCTGGCTGGCATGAGGGAGGCCGGGCAGATGGCACCCAAGGCTGGAGGCCGAGAGCGCCGGTACCAGGTTGGATTTATTTCCTGTCTCAGCCCTGGGATACCCTCATCTTCTATTGAGGGATAATGGACACACAACTGGGCATCGGTTTCAGATACAACAGATTGGCTACTTGTACGTGCTGTGAAATGGGTCACCAGGTGTGGCTCCTCACTCCCCTTAACCACCCATCTCTGCACACGGTTACAAGCTTTCCCTTTCTGGGCAAAACTTTGAAGCTCTCCTCCCTCAGCGACTTTGAAAGATACAACAGTGCTGTTACTGGAGTTCCCGAGCCGCCACCCCCCCCACTGTTGTGTACCCGCAAGTTTGTTCCTTTTGCCCCCCTTCACCCATCTTGCCCACCCCCACCTCCCGCCCCACCTCCCAGCCTTCTGTGCCCGGGAGCTCCGTGGTCTTTCTTCAAGATGCGACATACAAGTGAGAGCATCCTGTATCCATCCTTCTGACTTATTTCGCTTAACATAATGCCCCCAAGGTGCATCCACATTGTTGCAAACGGCAAGATTTCCTTTACGGTCGAACGTGCGTGTGTGCGTGCGTGTGTACACACTACGATCTTAACCCACTCATCCATCAAAGGACACTTAGGTTCCTTGGCTGTTTCCGTGACTTGATTACGGGAGAAAATGGTGGACATGGGGTGCAGGTATCATTCTGAGTCAGTGTTTTTGTTTCCTTTGGATAAATACCCACAAGAGTCATTGCGACATCATGTGGTAGTTCTTGTTTTTTTCTTTCCTTTTTTTTGAGATTTGAGGAACCTCCGTCCTGTTCCCCACACAGGCTGCACCAACTTACATTCCCACCAACAGTGCACGCGGGTTCTCTTCTCTACATCTCGCCAACACTCGTTACTTCTGGTCTTTTTTACAACAGCCATTCAGACAGGTGTAAAGCAGTTCATTGTGGTTCTGACTTGCACTTCCCTGATGACAAGAGATGCCGAGCATCTTTTCATGTGTCTGTTGGCCACCTGTAGGTCTTTGCGGGGGGAGGGGGAAGGCTAGTTAGATCCTCTGCCCAGTTTTAAATGAAAAAAAAATTTTTTAAATGCTTATTTACTTTTTGAGAAAGAGAGAGAGAGCAAGTGTGAGCAGGGGTGGGCAGAGAGAGAGAGAGAATCCCAACCAGGCTCCGTGCTGTCAGCATAGAGCCTGACTTGGGGCTCGAACTCATGAACCCTGAGATTATGACCTGAGCTGAAATGAAGAGTCAGACCTTTCATTTACTGAGCCACCCAGGAGCCCCACCCTCCCCATTCTTTCCTGTTAAGTTGTCTGAGCTCTTTATATATTTTGGATGTTAACCCCTTATCTGACAAGGCTGTCGTCTCATTTTGCTTGCTGGTTTCCTTTGCCGCGTGCAGAAGCGTTTTTGTTTGATGTAGTCCCACTTTTTTCCTTTTGCTTTTGGTGTCAAATCCAAACAAATCACCGTCGAGAGTGATGGCAGGGATATAGCCTGGGTTTTCTTCTAGTTTCATGGTTTCACGATTTACTTTCAAGTCTTGAATCCAGTTTGAGTTGGTGTTGTGTGTGGCGGGGTAGGGGTCCAGAGGCCGCCCCATTTCCCCAAACCGTTTATTGGAGATGGTCCTTCCCCTCTTGCATCCTCATTCTTGTGTTGTGTTCTTAGCCTCTCTGTTGTCAATTACTTGACCATATAAGTGTGGGCTTATTTCTAGGCTCTTTATTACGTTGTTGATTGACGTATCTGTTTTTATGACAATACCCTGTTTTCCTACGGCTTTGTAATATAGTTCGAAATCAGGGAGCCTGACGCCTCCAGCTTTATTCTTCTTTCTCCAGCTTGCTTTAGTTCCTTAGAGTCTTTTGAGGTTCCATACAAATTAGGATTCGTTCTATTTCTGTGACAAATGCCATTGGAATTTTGATGGAACTGCACTGAATCTGTAGGTTGCTTTGGGTAGTGTGGACGCTTGAACAATGGTAATTCTTCCACTCATGAGGACGGAGTATCTTTCC